TCTCTCTCTCTCTCTCTCTCTCTCTCTCTCTCTCTCTCTCTCTCTCTCTCTTGCGCGCGCGCTTTCTCATGAAAAAAGAGGAGCAAGAAATGAGGTAGACAGCTCATTGTATGTGCAATGTTTGAATGGATTATAGACCAACAAACGTAAGTACTGACAACACCACACACACAAGGAAAAAAAGGTAATTATCAAAAGCAAAGTCAGCACGATAATACCTATTAAGATTTTTGTAGTCTTTAATTAGAGAGAGAGAGAGAGAGAGAGAGAGAGAGAGAGAGAGTTTGAGTCAAACTCAGGTCCGAAATCGACAATTCCATATTTTTAAAAACAACTTATAACACATATATATTGTTAAGATTTTCCCAAAAGTTATAATTATGACCAGGAAGTGTGCCTGACTCTCCATTTTCTCATGGGAGAGGATAATTTAACAGAAACATACAATTACAACAACAGTAAAAATCTGTTTTCAAGCTATACACTGTCATACTCCTACCTACAACGAGATCCATAAATTTAGAAAAACAGCTGGAATAACGAGGAGAACTCCAGGGTACTACGACCATTTTCTAAATTTCCATTTTTTTTCCTCTCTGTATTCACACCTGGTATAGTAACAAAATTTGCAATTAAAATTTTTGATAACTATAAAGGCATATATAGGGAGACTTGTTACTTCATTGCCATTTGAACAAGAACAAGAAGGAGGACCTGGTGACCCAACCATCACAGCACACCATCGTTGTCTCCGCCCAAGGGTTATGAAGCATCCAAGTGTCCCCTCACTTCTTCCCCAATATAATCACTTACCCCCCACCCCTCCTACACGTCTCTCACGCTGGGCATCACCTCCCTACCCCCACTCCTGATCGCTCACCCCCCTTCCCCATTCCATACTGTGTAGGTGTGTAAGAATCAAGGGAAGCAGCCAGCTTTTAAACAAAGTAGTGTTGTCTTTCCACGCTGACCTCCCCTTGTTTTTTTCCTCTTTGGCTTTATTTTATATTTTTCCTTTATGTACATTTTTATTATATCAACATCAAATCCACTTTCCAAAGCATGTCAATACAGGCAGATTTACTGTATATAGGTATCTAGCTTCTAGTACTTTATCCCCTCACTCTCATAGTGTAGAGTTTAAACAACTTTCACTTCAAGTAATTTCAACATATCCCATGACAGGACAAGCAGTAGAAGATCTATTTATAAGTAAGTCTATAAATATTAAAAAATAGGATGGAAACAGAACCTAACTCTTGAGAGCTGAGCACAATAAGTGTACCTGATCTATATTTACATAATGATTTGATGAAATAAATAGTGCCGGTCCACTTAATGGTCTACCCCTGCTTTCTTTTCTTGTAACTTAAGCCTAACTGACCACGGTCTACCTGGAATTCTATTAAATTACGGCCTGTGTGGGATGATTTTATACACAATCACTCCCACATCTTGATGCTCAAATTTCACTAAATCAGGCGGGGTGGCCAAAGAGAATGACAGTTCCTAGGCTGTATATAAATGCAGAGGGAAAATGTTTCGTACTGTGGATTGTAACAGACGTTTAGTCCTGTGGAATCCTACGTCATCATGTTGGACAGTTGTTGGATTCGCTCATTGTAGACCATTGGGTCTAATAGAACAGAAACATTGCCGCAGACCGTCACCATTAATGTTTGAAAAAAATTGAATAAGTTATATACGTAATGACAATCTTTCAGTTTGGAACGTTTTATTCACATTTGCTGGACTTGGGTAATAATAGAGATGGCTTAACCCTACCCTTGGTCCTAACCCTTTTTACCTGAATCCAGCAAAATGTGAATAAAACGTTCCAAACTGGAAAATTGCCCCTACCTTGACAGCTGAGCAGCAGCCAGTACTTGCACTTGAACCCTCCACACTTCTGCAACCATCACAGGGGCTGGGATAATGGCTATTCCATCTTGCATTCACTTCTTGGATGTCAAGGTAGTAGTCTTCAGCAAGCTCTTCATCATCATCATCCTCTTCTGCTTCATCCGACCCTATACGTTCACGGAGGTGAGGATTAAAAATTGTCACATGATCATCTTCTGAAAAGGATGTTGGGGACCACAAGAACTCATCACTGTCATCAAAACTTTTTACTTCTGGAAAACCAGTGTCCACTTGAAGAGAACAACCACTTACAACAGGAATGTGCTTTGTCTTTGTCTTTGAAACATGGTCTTTTGACGTACCCATACCAAAAAAAATACTGATGTGTGAGGAAAGGCACTCGGTCTCCTGGTCATCTGCCCAGTCGTCATCGTCATCACTGAACTTTGCATCTTCTGAGTCTGATGAACAGGTAGAACTATCTTCTGAACCCATGAAGAAAAAACGAGCAGCAAAACTTTCCCCTTGAGATTCTGATTCATCATTACAGGGTGCAGCAAGACCAGCAGAAACACTTTCACTGAAAGGAGTGGAAAGACATTCTGGAATTTTGAAGAAATCATCTTTTACAGATAACTTATGCTGCCAGCAAGAATCACTACTTGACTCTTCGTTCGACATTTTCTTGTCTGAATGCTTGCTTTTTTCTCGTCTTCGTTTCTTCTGTTTCTTAGAAGAAGGTCGACCCTTTTTCGTGCACTTCTTTGTTCTATCAAACAAAACAGATGTGAGATCTTTCAAAAACTTTACAGGACAAGTTGTCGAATCATTTTCACCACAGACATTCTTAAGCTCAGTGACATCTTCAGAAATGATGGAAGTTTCTGCCATGACGACTGGCAGCGCGTCTCCACCATCACTAAATGATGACTCTGACTGCTCATTGCACTCAGGATGAGTATTCATTTGAGAATTGTTCATTTTTCCCGACAAACTTTCAGATCCTACATTAGAAATCTCCTTTAATGAGCAACGCTTTTCTGGAGTTGTGAGATATTCCATCTCCTTGCAATCTTGTGAACACTTCAAATAACTATCACCACAATCATCACTGACACTGACAGTAGGGGAATTACCTACAGAGTCCTGAGAGCTTCTCATCTCGTTGTCACCAGAAACAAGCAAACACAATGTTGAGTCAACACTCGACGCACCAGCAGACTGATCGTCGCTGACACTGCACAGAGTTTCCTGAGTAGCAACTTCAGCAGCAGAGGTGGTTAGATTGGCTCCCGGCATGATGACAGTCTCGTCTGGATGGGACTTCATTGTATCGATAATTGTTTCTGCCACTAGACTTTTAATTAAAGTCGGAATCACTGTCTTCTTCACAGGAAATGAACTCACGAACGGTTTTCTGTTCTCCATTTTAAAGGCTTTGTTGAACCCAATTGAATCAGGAAATGCACACAGTCTACGATTACTATTATTATTGTTAAATTTCTCGTGACAAACGTCAATGTAAGAGTTATTTTTAGGCAGCACAAACGAATGTACCTGCAAAAGATCTACATTGGATCTTGACAACTTGGGTGTGTTGCGATTCCACATACTTGTGAAGTAAGAGGAAAACATGGAAGGAATAGCTGCAAGCTGTGGTGAAGACATGGTTACTTCAAATTCTGATTGATCAAGGGTTGATGTGGTGTTGACAGTGGGCGACGAAACCAGATGGTTTGTAGGAAAAAACAAGTCTTCAGTTCTACGAAGTCGAAGAGGTGCTGTGAATGCAAGCATCATGGCAATTAGTTTTCTAGGTCCAACAATATCACGAAGGATGGTGAAACTTGCGATTTTTCTGAATCAGATGATCCACTCCTTTTCCACTTCACTCGTTTGAACGGACTCTTCTTGCTTTTGTTGAGGGTCGTCGTATGGCTTGAAGAAAACTGCCAATTTGTGTTCAAATCAGAATTATACGGATATAAAACGTTAATATCCTCCCGTACACAATATTCTTCAGTCTCACAATTTGATGAACGCTCCATAACTTTGAGGGAAACAAACTGAGTACTTTAATTTTATTGTGATGGTTTAGTGGAATTGGGTACGGTCTCCATGATGGCCATTATATAAACAAGGATTTCTAGGCAAATCACAACACAGGGTAAAAATAACTACGCATCAAAAAAAGAGTTCAAGGAAAAGTGATATCTGTTTTTCCAGGTTTTTTACTTTACATAATCAATATACTACAATCATATCAACAACTAGTCTTTAATATTTTCAGAAGTGAAATAAGTACTGGGTTAGTCTGTTTGATCATGTTTATAGGATAGCGGATGAATACGGAAATAAAGGTATTTATTTTTAGTATTAACCTAAATTTAGAAAAATGATTGCATCAGAAAAAAGAGGGTTTCCCAGCAAGTTCAGGAAACATCCAGGCAAGTATCGGGACTTCTTTGACGAGATGTCCGATACCACAGTATTGTTCCTGTGCGATGTCCATGGGTACAGGAAGGGGAACCCCCCTCCCCTCCCCCTTCTCTATCTCTCTC